ACGTCTTCTACGACGTCCACGACAACAACCATACACCATGCCGACACCCATTTTCTATTGGCCTGTTAACCCATACAGCCACACGTCAAGGGCACACACACACACGCACGCACGCACACGCACGCATACTGCTTAGAGACCCGTGAAAATCCGGGTTAGAATTGGTCTTCAGTAACCCATGCTTGTCGTAAGAGGTGACCAAAGGGATCAGGTGGTCAGGCTTCTTCACGTGGTTGACACATGTCATCGGATCCCAGTTGCGTAGATAGATGCTTGTTTTATTGATCGTTGGATTGTCTGGTCCAGACTGAATTTACAGACTGCCGCCATATTGCTGAAATATTGCTGAGTGCGGCTCTACACAACAAACCAACCAAGGCCACACACACGTCAGGTGCCCTGCTTCGCCTCCTCTTGCCAAGCCTTTTAAGCTCAGACTTAGATTTAGCCCCCTTTTATATTTAGTAGGTCCACTTTATCTTATAACCACAGCTTAACTCTAGAGTAAGTCAATTAAAGTCCTACGGTGCCTTACCTTATTTATTAGCCATACATGTACCTCCCAATTACCACGTTCACTGTCTTGTCCGCCCCCAAGCCAACTCGCCAAAATCTATACATTTTTATTTTACCTCCCTAATCTCATTTACATTCTCTTCATTTTTCATTCTCAAAAACCATCGGTAAGTTTACAGTTTTTGCATACGGTGTATATCCCCTATCAAATAACTTATTACAAATGATAATATCTTTATCCTTCTGTCTCTTATCCATAGGTATCTTAGTAAGCAAAAGGTTAAACGTTATTGTGTGTTCGTGGCTTTTGCTAAGGCATTCGACAGTGTAAATCGTTTGAAATTATGGCCAGTTGTAATATCAAGAGGTGAAATGTTTAAAATGTTGTCAGGATTTTCCCCTTGTTCACGTGGTGTTCGTCATCGCTGCGTCCTAAACTGCCTGTTGTTTTCTTTTTTATCAACAAGTTGGCTGTTGAGGTAGAACGAAGTTCAGGTCCAGGTATTCAATTACATCCTGATGTTATTCAGATATTTTTTTCTGCTTTTCGTTGATGACATCGTAGTTATATCTGAGACTATTAGAGGGCTACAGAAGCGCATCAATGTTTCAGAAACGTTTTGTATACAATATGGCATCGAGGTCAAGTTGGATAATACAAAAGTTGTCGTTTTTCAGAAAGGTGGTATCTTATCAAAAATAGAAAGTTCTTTATACAATGGTAGAAAATTGGAAGTAGTAACTTCGTATAGGTGTCTAGATATAACATTTACAAGGGGTTTGTCTTGGTCTAGTCATTGCTCTAATGCAGCAGTGTAAAAAGACTTTATTTGGTTTTCTTAAAATATTAAGTAAGCTAGGTAGAACTTCATAATATTTGATATAACAATAGCTACTATTTTATTCTATGGTGATGAGATCTGAGGATTCTGTCAGAATGATTATATTGAATCTGTTCATACATTGGCATTCAAACGGTTTTTAGGCATTAAGACCTCTACACCTACTTACATAGCTCGTGGTGAATGTGGGCGGTATCCCCTATACATGTATATCCTAGCATACAAAATGGTAATAAAGTATTGGTTAAGTTATTATGTAAGTCTGGTTCTCGCCATCCCATTATCCATAGGTATCTTAGTAAGCAAAAGGTTTAACTTTATTATTTGTTCGTGGCTTTTGCTAAGGCATTCGATAGAGTAAGTCGTTTGAAATTATAGGCAGTTTGAAATCAAGAGGTGTTTCTCCCAAAATGGTTCAAACTATACAGTCCATCTGTTCATCCAACGAGTTGGCTGTTGAGGCAGAATGAAGTTCATGTCTAGGTACTCAGTTACATCCTGATGTTATTCAGATATATATTCTACCTTTCGCTGATGACATCGTACTTATATCTGATACTATTGGAGGGCTACAGAAGCGCATCGATGTTATAATGGTAGATATTGTTTTTATAATGGTAGAAAACTGAAAGTAGAAACTTCGTATAAGTATCTAGATATAACATTTACAAGGGGTTTGTCTTGGTCTAGTCTACGTTCTAATGCAGCAAAGTAAAAAGACTTTAATGATGTTCTTAAAATATTAAGTAAGCTAGGTAATATATCTCATGAATTATACTTTTAAGATACTTGATACAACAGCTACTATTTTGCTCTATGGTGCCGAGGTCTGGGGATTCTGTCAGAATGATTATATTGAATCTGTACATACATTGGCTTGCAAACAGTTTTTAGGCGTTAAGATCTCTACACTTAATCATATAGCTCGTGGTGATTGTGGGTGGTATCCCTTATATATCCTAGCATACAAAAAGGGTAATAAAGTATTGGTAACATTATTAAGTATGCCTGGTTCTCGCCATTCCATTATCCATAGGTATCTTAGTAAGCAAAAGGTTTAACTTTATTATTTGTTCGTGGCTTTTGCTAAGGCATTCGATAGAGTAAGTCGTTTGAAATTATAGGCAGTTTGAAATCAAGAGGTGTTTCTCCCAAAATGGTTCAAACTATACAGTCCATCTGTTCATCCAACGAGTTGGCTGTTGAGGCAGAATGAAGTTCATGTCTAGGTACTCAGTTACATCCTGATGTTATTCAGATATATATTCTACTTTCGCTGATGACATCGTACTTATATCTGATACTATTGGAGGGCTACAGAAGCGCATCGATGTTATAATGGTAGATATTGATTTTATAATGGTAGAAAACTGAAAGTAGAAACTTCGTATAAGTATCTAGATATAACATTTACAAGGGGTTTGTCTTGGTCTAGTCTACGTTCTAATGCAGCAAAGTAAAAAGACTTTAATGATGTTCTTAAAATATTAAGTAAGCTAGGTAATATATCTCATGAATTATACTTTAAGATACTTGATACAACAGCTACTATTTTGCTCTATGGTGCCGAGGTCTGGGGATTCTGTCAGAATGATTATATTGAATCTGTGCATACATTGGCTTGCAAACAGTTTTTAGGCGTTAAGATGTCTACACTTAATCATATAGCTCGTGGTGATTGTGGGTGGTATCCCTTATATATCCTAGCATACAAAAGGGTAATAAAGTATTGGTAACATTATTAAGTATGCCTGGTTCTCGCCATTCCAAAAAATGTTATAACATGATGTTAAAGGCTTTACATAATAAAGTTGGCTTCGAAGTGTCGAGGTCTGTTTTGGTTTTGTTCACGATCAGCAATTTGTTTATTTTCCTACCTCGTTTTTATGTGAATTTGTCAGCTTAAATGTATTCATGAATAGAATTGGTATAGTTCACTTCAAAATGACAGCAAATCTATGTCGTATTCTTACTTCAACATATCATTTTCCAGGGAATTGTATTTAAAAGTAATTAACATTACAGTTTAGATGTTTTCCACATCAGTTACGTATTGAAACTGAAAGGTATTATATTATAAATAGAAATGATGTTTACGATGCGATGAAGGTTATATTGAGGATGAATACCATTTTCTTCTCGTGTGGTCAAATTTTTAATCAGCTCCGCTTAAACCATTTATCTAAAACCTATTGTACCAATCCAAGTAAATTTAAATTTAAATTCCTCATGTCATCATCAGATTTTAAACTTATCAATAACTTAGCCAGCTTTATTTATCATGCAATGTATATAAGATATTAAATAATTAATTTGTACTGTACACACCATGTTTTCCCATGTACAATGTAACCTATGTAGTTTTGGGCCGATGGCCTACACTTCTGTTAATTAAGAATTAAATAAGGGTATTAGCCATACCTCCCATTTACCAAGTTCACTCTCTTGTCCGCCCCCAAGCCCGCTTGCCAGAATCTATTCACATTTTTGTTCGTTTTTCATTCTAAAGAAAACATAAGGTACTTTACCCAAAGTTAAGGTAAGTTTGAACACATTCAACCTTGGTGTTCACTGTCTCGAAACAAAACATCTGCGTTCGCCTTGATGATCCAAGTTATGAAGTGTTGCTCTCGGGTAGATCGTTCAAGACATCAACTCGATCATACTCATAACAGAGACGCCTTTCAGAAACTTTAGTGTGATGTAATACAATCACTGTCCGGTATGAGACAAGAAACATCTCTGTTAGCCTTGGTCATCAAAGAGGTGAAGGTCACCTGTTGCTCTCGAGAGGTTCGGTTAAGACATCAACTTCATCATACTAACAGAGACGTCGCCCAAAATTGAAAGGTGGTCAGGCTTTGCCCCAGGAACTCTCTCCGTGAAGTTGTGAATGCTGACACCATCTTTTACTAACTGGAAGAAACCGGCCATAACTTAATTTAACTGTTTTTCCAACATCGTCTACAAAGTGTCAACTTGTTCTTTAATTTGTTTTCTGCAGTATGTATTCTTTCTTATAACAAAGATAACTATTCTCAAAATATATTATGCATAGGTTTCACAATGGTAAACAAATTGTCACACCGAATTATAAAATGAAACTGTGGTGTATGGAATATTGTTCTCGGTTTACCTTCACTGATATAAATACTGTAATACACTGGTTTGCAATTTACATTCCATGTATAGATTCTCTATTGTCTACAGTCTCCAGTGTACATGCAACTGCTATTTTAACCATGTATATATAATATCATCTGTGTTTGTCGTTTACATTCCGTGGTAAAACAAGAAATGTCCAGCAAAATGACAGCAATGTCCATAAATCTGCTTTTCAAAATCTTGCCATCATGACAATGAATGCACTCATCCATTGCTGTATTTACATACATAACAGGTTAGTTACTTAACCGTTTAGTTACTTTGGTGCTTGTAGTTACCTGTTGTATTGCCAAACATTTTCGTACCTGGACCATTCGTTGATTATTCATTGTTCTTGTGTGGTCATCTTTTGAATTTACAAAAATAGTTTCTTTTCACTTATGACAAGATCTACAGATGAGGTTTGAAATAAATAACTAAATGTGCAAAATATTGTGAAACATTACGACTTTAGCAAATACAGTCAGCATTCTTTACCTTGTAGCTGCTGTTGCTTTCGCCTTGATTATCAGCCGGAACTTGCTTGGAGGACCACACGGAAATGAATACTTGCCTTTAATCTGCAAGAGACATACCACCACATTTCATAATTAAATTATGTCATTAGTACAGAGTTTGTCGTGTATGATTGCTTGTGTGGGGCTAAGGCTGATTAAATTGAACAAATGACAAATGGTAGAAATGATCGGAATCACTCGACCTGGAAAAGTAGAATTCAGACTGTTTTGCTGCTATTTGGCAAGCCACGTTAAGACAAGTCAAGTCATGAAGCTTGACCAGTCAGGTATCAATCGCTCACTCGAGAAACAGTTTGGAAGCGATGTGTGGCCAAAGTGAAGGACGAGATAGAACGAAGATACTGGTTACGTGATGGCCTGCATCAAGCTACCGTTCCTCCTATAGTGGCGACAGTAGGTAACATCACAGGCGATTCTGATTATGAGATTGATAATATTAGCGAGGCTGAATGTGATCCGTGACATATTGAGATGACCCCTACTAGCCAGGAAGCAGCCGGCGCTGTTCCGCCAGCCGTCTGTCACCCCTTGGTGTGAAGCGTGAAAATAGAACAATATATAATGATCATAAAACGTCAGATTTCATATCCTGTTGGGTACAGAGGTTTTCAGGACAATGTGTTTCAATTATGTTGTGTGAACTTATCCCTATTTCGAGTTATTTAATCATTAATCGTTCATATTTGAACCCAAACGGACTGTGTGTATGCTGCTGGGTACCAGTCTAACCCGGAATACGCTCTTGGAGGTGGTAGAGCTGGGGATGGATGGTGTGTAGTCTGTGTTTTTATACCAGAACTAAAATGTATATCCTAAAATACACAGACGAAATATTTTCTTACCGGATCGTGCCACCTGTACTGTCCACAAAGACCGGCTAAACTCTCCCACGCTCCAGATGACTGACAGGTGCTGATGACTTTGTTGTAGCAGGTTCTGAAGTCCGGGTCACAGGAGTAGGTCGCCACCGCTCCCAGGTAGTGACCGTCATACGTGGTGTTGGCGCCCCTCACATCCGGGGGATGACCACACCCTTGGAACTCTTCACAAAATAAGTCATATAGCTTGAAAATTAGAATGTACGTCAATATGTCATTAATCGTAGTTTTGAAAAACAATGACTCACCATGTACGTATTCCACCTGATATCAGCTTGACTGGAAATCTAAGTGGCAAAACACCAAGGCCTGAAGGGAATGATTTTCCAATAGCATTCCGAAGTTTTCATCACTCCAAGAATGATGATATAGGCGCAGAACAGCACAAGGAATTGTTCACACTCAACCTTTAGATTCTATGAAATATTGTGGCCTTACCATTCCACTTAAGTTTAGCATCTTTACATTGCATCTGTGTGTTATCTCAGCACCTGCGTCTCTGGTAATGTTGTTCTAGTGCACAAAATTACTTACTTACTTATGTCAGTAAATAAATCGGGAACGCAATACAGCAACCAGTCCAAATCATGTACAGTATTTCCAACTGGGATTATGCAAGACAGCCTTCCTATATGCACCTGCTAAAGGTAGTTGAGGAATAGGAATAACATCGGTTACCTGGAGCACACCTTGCAAGACCAAGTCGAGTTACTTCACAGCCGGTGTTATTGTGACATGTGATTTGAGCGCATCGTCCAGAGAGAGACTAGAAAGAAAAGAGTTCATACACAAAATTTATTGACGTTCAAAAAGTTGTTGTTTTTGTGTTGTGGACATGTATATAAATCCAATGAACTGACACACCTCAACCTTCAAACATCGAAAAATGTTGTTTAATTCTGCCTTTGACAGCAATTTTTCAAGTACACATCGAACAAGAGAAATGGTTGGGACCAGACATCCAGTGAACGACATCATGAGCATCTGTCTACGTAACTGTTGCATAACTGATGTGATTGTAAGAAATGTATTGACCATGTCACTGAGACTTATCCCTTGATCCCGATTAACTTCTTTATTGTGACTAAAACGACGTTTCGGAGTGTACGCTTGCTACTTCATCAGGTGGTGATTGAGCAAGCATACACTCTGAAACGTCGTGTTATTCACAATAAAAATCTTGCTTTTCTTCAGGCAAATATATACGAGAAAACGCTTCCATGTTTGGAATGAAAGCAACAAAACCCTATCCACATCCATAAGTAACATCTGATGAAAGTAGAATCGACTGTACAATCCTGACCATATCATGAGCATGTGTTTATGAATCACTATCAACTAGTGATGTTACCAGGTGTTCACACAAATATGAGCGTATTCTGTCGGACCTGTGGCAGCCGTCATGAACATATATACCGAACCACAAATGAAACGTCCCTTTCAGAACCAAATGCAAGATTTTGCAAGTGTTTTTATAATGATTGTCAACATGTGTTTCAATCCAAACTGTGTTTTTTCTGATGAAAGAGCACATCGACGAAACGCACCTTAAAGGCAGACGTGGTGAAACGTTCCGTATGACATTCGTGAAAGTGATAATGCACGTGCATATCGTGACAACCCTACAAATGAAAGCGAGTCTGAAACTTGCCTGAAATCATTTTTGTTTTGACACAATCGCCATGTCACGATCAGAGAGAACCAAGTCTTTGGATGTTTGCAAGTTGGCCAGACTGCACGGTGGGTAGTGAATCATTTTAATGTTCATGTTAGGACAATCTACCGACTGCGGGAGTGGTATCAGGTCACAAGCATCATCTAAGACCGTCCACGCACCTTCGCAACCTCAAGACTGACAGATTGTGCGCAACCATCTGCAGGATCGCTTCCTCAGAGCGACGGAAACAGCACGCCAGGCCATTGGGACTCACAGCAGACCCATCAGTGCCGATACAGTGCATCGATGTTTGCGCAGAAGAAACCTCTGCTGTCACAGACCATATCGTAGTCCTGTCCTCACCGCTGATAACTACGCACAAGACCGACTGCAATGGGCAATTCAGCATCGAAATTGGCGTTATCAACAATGGGGAACTGTACTTTGTTCTCATAAAAGCCGATATTGTGTTTCGACAGTCGATGGCAGAGTGAGAGTATGGTGAAGGCATGGGGAACTGTTTCCCAATAAGTGTATTGTTGAAAGAGAATCGTGGGGTGGTCCAAGCATCATGGTGTAGGGTTCAATCGGTCTGAACCAGATAGTTGGCACCTTGGTGTTCCAGAATCTCGGTCCAGGATGAGGAAATGATGTGACAGCTGCTCGCTATATTAACCAAGTCATAATACCCAACGTAGTACCACATTTTGGACATTACAGAAGTCACATCTTCTGGCAAGACAACGCTTGTGTCAACACTGCCAGAGCAACATTGGACTTCCTAAGACAACATGGCATCAAAACCCCCTACAATAGACTGCACTCAGTCCGGATTTGAGTCCAATAGAGCACCTTTGGGACGAGATTCAAAGCAGACTGAATGACCTCCAACCAATGCCGACAACTGCAGCTGGACTCGATCAGGCATTTCACAGAGTAGTTACCCAAGTGCCTATGACCTTCATTAACCGGCTTATTTATTCCATGTACAGACGATGCAACGCTTTCATCTATGCCCATGGAGGACACACACAATATTGACTTTGGGGTATCTTAATGGTACATTTTTGGGGGGTTTTTGTTTGTGTGAACTCGAAATGTGATTCCCGAAAATGTGTTAACCATAAATGTGTTAACCAAAGTCTGAACTCAATCCTCCGTTTGGATTGTTAATTAGAGTGAATTAAAGTGTGTGCTTTAAGAAACCGCTATCGGTGCGACATTTCTTTTGTGGTTCAGTATGCAAAGCAGTCACCTGAAAATTTTCGGAAACATATGGTTAAAGCGAAAGGTGGGAATTGCATCAAATATCATTTTTGTCACTTATGCATCAACATTTTAATGTCCACCACATATCTACCATATAACGTTTTGAAAGCTTTACTGATGCTTTGTTTGTTGTTTATTGCTGCATTCAGCAATATTCCAGCCCTGATATGTTATACCCTTGATCGAACAACTACTGAAGAAAAATCATCTGACGCTCTTTGAATTCCTGATAAAAAGAGCTTGCTCGATTGTTCAAAAGCTCTGAAATGTAAATACCAAAGTTGGAATATATCGGAAATAGTGGGAACGTTGACAATTCGAAAGTTGAAATCATTCTTGCTGCCTTGTGGAGTTATTTTTCGTACATTTGATGTTCTTTGCATATAGCTAATATAATAATGAGTGAGTTAACATTTAGAGTCACATCTGTAGTGAAGGATAAATGTTACATATCTTTTTATAACTGGGAAACTTTTTTCTACTAAATATTGACGACATTCAGGGCACGATGGCCTGTAATTGATGAAAACGTCAACCAACACCAACCTTTGGCCAGTGTTGAATATCACTGAAGAGGAATCCCGTTCTGTCAACAACGTTAGCAGTATCACTGATGTTACTGTTCAGTAGGCAGATGCGCGTTTTCATCTCAAATCCAAAGGACAGACATGCTGAGGACATGAGACACTCTGATGCACAGGTGTAGGGAGACTGACTCCAGAACTTTCTGAACGCCTGGTGTTCCATGTACTTGTCGCTGTGAACTACAAAATCCATGTCCAAACAGTTGTCACCACTGACTAACTTCATGATTCCAAAGATTAGGAGAACAAATTCGCAATAGTAAGACCACATTTTCACGACATGGATCTTCGAATGTCAAGCTGCTACTGGCAGTCTTTATGTATATTAAGCTGTTTTGACACTGCCAATAACAACGCCTGTTAATGGCATGCATTAATTGTATAAATGTTTAAGCTGGGAACATCAGTATGGGAAACAACCTGTTTGGAATGTTTTCCTCCATAGCAATCAATATATTGAAAAGCATATCATATTTCTTGTGATTCGGTTGAATTTAGTTTAAATTCCTGGGCTCTCAAGAACGCAAGTATTTGAGAACATACGCAAGAATGTACATGCAGGATAAAAGAATCTTTTAGCTCAAATGTGTTTGATTAACAGAAATCGAAAATGATTTCTTTAAAGCACTTTCGTGAAATCAATCCACGTTACAGATAATACATTAAAATTAATTTTCAAGACACTTAAAGCGGAACATACTTCTTTATAGTCTTTTTTACAATAAATCTATTCTAATTGTTGCGAACATTAGGAAATGATAAGAGACAAAACACACTTCCATAAGAAAAGTCCATTTTATTGCAAACCTATTTAATCTTACGATAGCAATACAGACATGCCATACGGCCACCTTAGGCAAATTCCGTTCTGCACGGCAGCCGGATCTACTTTTTCCCATGTTCGGCAATACTCGGATACGTCCGTAAGCATCGAAATTTTAGACAGTATTTTGAATCATGGGTATTATTATTAATCTATGTCTATGATAATGGACCAATATTTAGGTTTTTAGTATGTTTGCCAGTAATGTATTCGTAAAAGCATTTGAGTTATTTGAAAATTGCTTAATTTCTGTGGTGTTTCAACATTTACGTGAGACTACTCTTCTGCTTGTTTGTTGTCCAAATCTCGGAAACAATGGCATCGATGATTACTTTTATGGAGAGATGTTTGGTTCTTTTAAAATGGAACAATCACCACTAACCTTGGAGCCTTCGCCAGTCTTGGCTTCGAAACGTACGTAGCAACGATCTGAAGGCTTACATCGATAGCAAAAGCGTGTCAGTGAGTGAGTGAGTTAAAATTTAAAGTCACATCGGCAGTATTTCAGCCACATCCTGACTATATCCTGTCATACAACTGGAATTTGTAAATGTATTCATGAAATAAAAACAAGTTTAAATACGTACAAAGGACAGTAAAAGAAGTCGAATATCACAGTTAGAGATTCAAAACTAGAATGCGAATTAAAAGTAGATACAAATTAGGACATTATACATGTATTATAAAAAACAGGCTATAGATCACCAACAACCGAAGGTAGATCACCATACTATGGACCATGGGGACTAACGGTGCCTTGCTACCTGCTTGGACCCTAGTTGGATTTACAATATAAAAACAGGCTATAGATCACCAACAACTAAAGGTAGATCACCATACTAGGGACCATGGGGACTAACAGTGCCAATGCTCCCTTCAGATGTTAGCAATGTTGGCAATCGAGCCACATATTAAAATAACATATATACTGCAGTTAAAACCAATAGTAAGTTTAAATTTACTTGAATTGTTTTCGACTTACGTGCCCTCCAAACGCAGTGTTCATAGCGGTCACCGTCCTGTGTGGGTGATAGTAAAAGCGGAAGTCGGAGTAAAACAAGTTATTTGCTTCCCTCTTTATCTCGATACGCCATCTGTAATGGTGATGTAAAAGAAATGAAGTTTGGCACAGAACAACTTTCACATGCAGGTGTACAGTAATGCCAACAAGGATAAATTACAATTTTTCTTTATATTTCATATTCAATAATTGTTTGTATTTAGAAACACTGACACAGCATCTTAGCATCCTTCATGTGGCAGGAACAGAAATGCGGCCTCACACTTAAATTAGATTTCAATTAGGATCATAAAAGTTTCTGCAAGAAACTGAATTCGAGAGAAGTTATACAGTCAAAGGTTTTTGGAAAGTATGGTCAAAACACATGGGTACAATCAATGTAAACTTACAAAATAGCTTTGAACAAATGAAA